TCTCGATTAGATCGAATAAAATGATCGAACTAAAATGTTTTGAGGTGGTATGAGGAATAATGTGAATGTGGTAGAAGGAAAAGGGGGGTTGGAGGCATAATGAGGCACATGGAGATGACCCAAAGTGCCTCTCCCCATGCACATGCCAACGCTCAGTAGGCCATTACTAAGGAGTAGGAGCATCTTTATGTAGTTTTCTTTTTAATTTCTTCAATTATGAATGTAATAATAAAGGCTTAATTATTATTCCACATATTTTCTTCCTTCCTTTTATTATTATTATTATTTTACTAAATCATGGGAGAAATTCGAAGTAAAATCTTCCATTTTAGGCCTTCAAATGAGAAAAAAAGGGAAACAAATCAACCTATTTTTAATCAATTTAAACAAAATTAGTATTTTCTTATATGGACAAGAGTATCCATGAAAATGTTGGCCAAAAAAAAAAAAAAAAAAGGTTTTTTCCTACTAAAGATTTAAATTTTTAGTTAAATTCCATAAACAAAAATAAATATTATTTGCTAACTTAATTTTCAAAAATTAGAAAATAAAAATTCAAATTGGAAGAAGTAGAGATAAATTTGATGTTTTTGAAATGCTTTATTTTTAAAATTTAATAGATTTTTTTTTTTTTTTTTTTAAGTTTAAAAAAATGAATGAAAGTGTATTTTTAAAAAAATATATATTTATTAATTTAACCTCATTAATAATAAGCAATTTTGGACTGCAAGAGATCCTTCTGTGTTCCTCTCTTTTTCGCAGAGGTGCACTAAATGCAGTTTCAGTCTCTTCCAACCAATTGCTCTTTTCTACTTCTTTTCCTTTTCTTTGCTTCTCCTTCACTTTCCAGCCTTCTTCTTCCTCCTCAAAACCCTGCAATGATTCAGAGCCTTCTCCCATCCTGAATCCCTGACTCTGTAACCTCCAAACTCATCTTCTTCCAAATGGGTTGCTGTGTCAGTACTTCCAGGACTTCTAATTCATCCTCTCCGCCCCACCATTCTGGATCTGCATTTTCCCATTCCAAATCCAATCACATTGGAAACAGAGCACCCCCTCCACTGGAAGAAGAGTCTGTTAAAGAGGTTCTCTCTGAAACTCCCAAACCTAAGCCGCCACCGATTGGGGGGAGAAAACTCCACGAATCTGCCTCTGGGAACCTCAATGGGGGAATCCCCATTCATTCCACTGAAGAAATTTCTGAGATTTCTGACGTTTGCAGCTTTAACGAATCCCTATCTACTACGACTGTAACAGAGAAGCTGGATGATTTCGAAGAGATACGTAAAAGGATTTGCAGATCTCCGGCGAAATTGCCCAAGAACCGGTCGTCGCTCTCGGACGATTGGGTTCAGAGGAGGGATAGAATGGTGGGTAAATCGCCAACAAGAAAACCCGATCAGTCGCCGGGCCGGATTAACAGCGGCGCTGGAACTGTGAAGTTGGTGCAGAGCAGAGACATGGGGCAGGGACTCCTCGCAAGTCGAAGTTTGAGGCCAGAGCCACGCGTTCAGAACAGGACTGAGAATTCATATCGAAGGTCCAGATCCCCTGCCACCACTCGAACCGACGGCGAAGCCTCCAGAACCGCCGCTGGCCGGAGTCCATCTGTCCGGCGGTCTGGAATGTCGCCGGGAAGAGAAGCAACCACTGGAGGAGACTATTACAGGAAAGAAACAGGGGAGGTTCATGCACAGAACGAGACGATAGAGGGAAAATGGCGGACAACAAACGAATCCCTCGATAACCCCCTTGTTTCATTGGAATGCTTCATCTTTCTCTGAAATTCCGGGCGCATATTACGACCCAGTTCATCGGACCGACGAGTGCCCATTCAAATTTCTTGTACTCTGTTTTTGTGTGTGTTCATCTACGGTGTGATTCCTATTTTTGGTCTGGAAATTGTAGCAAGTTGTACATAATAAAGATCAATTTAGGAAACAGACCGTATTTGCACAGTTGGATAGGCGAGGTCTCTCTGTTTTCTGTGAAAGTAAATCTTTTGCAATGCGTACAAAGATCGTATTTTCCTCTCTCTCAAAGCAACCAAGCTGTTCTTGCTAATGGATGAGTAGACTTTTCCTTTCGTGTGACTTAGAACACAATAGGAGTACCTATAATCAAGGGAACCAACTGGACGGTACCGCATTGGGAAGAAGACGAAAATGGAAACTAAAGCTTTATTAGTACTGATTTTACTCTAAAAGAATTAGTGTTTATGGGTAAGCAGAGACGTCATGAGCTATGGTATTTATGGTGCAAACAGTCCGGATCTTCATTGTTCAGACCTTTACACCTATTAAGACAATAGGGAAGGAAGAAAGAAGAAGAAAAAGTAATTTTGAGTCAGCCCAGCAGATGATTTCTGAAACGAAGACTGATCTAAGATTCAGATCACCATCACCAACATGACAGTTCTCTCATCATTTCGTCCAACTTTTGGCTTTATGTGTTTTAACCGACAAAAAGAACATAAACAGTCCAAAGCTGGAGAATTTAGAGAAGCTCTACCAGAAGAAATGGAGACTTTTGCAGTTGAAAGTTCAGGTAACCTGTTTATGCAGCCATTGGCGGTTCGGGGCGTTCTATGTTGCTGCATTTTCATGTAATATTGTGTTTGTATATTATATTGTGGGTATATGCTGTCTTTTTCTTGTTGGATTCTCTGTCTCTGGTTGTAAGATACAAGGGTATCAATTATTGTAGGCTATTTTGAACTCTTGGTCTTTCTAGCAGACAGAAAACAATTTCCTTCATTTTGATATTATCGTTGTGTGCAATGCAACAATAATATGCGATTCAAGTAGAAACAGCTTGGATAAACATTGGATATATAGAAGAAACGAGTATGCATTTCATATATATCTCAACAGGTGAAGTTCGCCTGCACAAAGAGAAATTTGTATATATGATTGCAGAGGCGTCAAGCCAGATTTTCAGAGCCAAAAAAGAGATAAAAGCTTAACCTTGCGGAAGGCATAAAAATGTGAAACTTGCTATCTTGAAGAAGGCAATGCAGAGAGATGAGGTAAAGCAAGGTGGGCTGTGAGCGTATATACAGAATAAGAACCTCTGGAAATGGGGGAAAAACAGCCTCAGTTTTGCTTGAATCAATCGAAACTAGTAAACTCTTTTGCATCCTCAGTATGTTCGATCTCATAAGGAACTCGAGTTTTCAGTGAAATGGGAACTGGTTGTGGCATAGGATAAGTCATTGTGTTGATGTTGTGGCCATGGAATGCGTTCAGGGGGACACGGGACGGGAGCCGGGTGGGCAATATATGTAGGAATATGATCTCCAGGCATTAGCACTGAAACTCCACAGGAATACACAGTCATCTGCATATAAACAAAACAAAAATGTAGATGGCTGAAGATTGTACAAAGCATCCACGATCGTCAAAGGACAAAATTGTTATGCCTTTGGAATTTAACCAGTAAACAACTTCCTTACTTGTAGATGAAACAGCACAACATATTTGACAAACAGAACTGCAAAACAAATGGATAACTTTTCTCACGTTGCAAACGGGCAGCAGCCAATGACTTTGTCACTAAGGGTCGGCCCTTGCGAGAAACCAGCTAAGTCTTGAGATCTTACAATGTTATTGTAATGGCCCAAGCCTACCGCTAGCAAATATTGTTCTCTTTGGAATTTCCCTCTCAGGCTTCCCCTCAAGATTTTTAAAACGAGTCTGCTAAGAAGAGGTTTCCAAACCCTTATAAGGAATGTTTCATTCTCTTCTCCAATTAACGTGGGATCTCACAATCCACCCCTCTTCGAGGCCCAGTGTCTTCACTGACAATCATTTCCCTCTCCAATTGATATTAGATCTCACAATCGATCCCCTTTCGGGGCCCAGCGTGCACACTCTCTCCAATCAACGTGGGAACTCACAATCCACCCCCTTCGGGACCCAGCATCCTCGCTGGCACACCGCCAAAGTGTCCACCCCCCTTCGAGCTTCACAGTCATTTTCCTCTCCAATCAATGTTGGACTTCACAATTACAAGGAATCAATCATAGACCAGTTAAAAGAAGCAATCTATGGTGTATATCTCTTCTTCCCTCATTAGTGCTTACCATTTTTGTAGCTTAAGAAAGCACAAATTTGTATTGAGATACAACAAGCCATTACTAGAAGTAGTACTATATTTCCTGTTAAATCACTACTAAAACCAAAACAGAAAATGGTAGAGATACTAAATCCAAAACTGGGATCCAAATTCTAGGTACCTCCAAAACCCCTAAACTCACTCTATTTATAGCCACTCAACTAAAACAACTTCTAGGTAATTAAAAGTATGCCCTTGTTAGTATTCCCAACACCTTTGCACATACAAGAATCAGCCCTGTTCTTGAGTAATTAGACAGGACAACTAGGTAGGCCTCATATGTTTCTTTGAAGGCTGCAATCTGCATCCATAGATTACAGATGTGTCACAAATTCTTGACACGGTTTCAGCCAGCAATGCTCCACTGCTAAACTTTATATATTACGACAGTAATATTAAAAAAAAAAAAAAAAAAAAAAAAAAAAAAAAAAAAAAAAAAAAAAAAAAAAAAAAAAAAAAAAAAAAAAAAAAAAAAAAAAAAAAAAAAAAAAA